ACACGTTGTTTTGCAGCTCTTCCAGAAATGCCAGTGACTGTCTATGTAGCTTCTCTAAACAATATGCAGTTTTCTCGTATGCTTCCTATAATTATTAGATACATCATTTCAAATCCTCACTGTGGTATCAGACACAGCAAAGCCCGACCTTAGACACAAGTTGCAGAAAAAAGGATATTATATTAATTACAAAATTAGCATCACATGATTAATAAAATTTGCCATTTAGTTCATTTACAAAAAAAAAAAAAAAAACACGTGTTACAAACACAAATCTTCATCAAACGCGAATGTTCACAATTTTTACGAGGTGTTTTATTTCAGGCTTGACACTTTTATTGTCTATTCACCTAAAATGTTCCCGTCCCCATAAATGCAGCACTGATACCAGATGATTTAAACATGTATACAAATCCATTTGGATAAAGAATACATAGACATAACCCTGCTGCCCCGAGAAACTGCAAAACTGACACTTCAGGTTGGGTCTAACTCCCCGTAATAAATCTGATTCACTTGCTATAGTCACATGTTCTAGAGAAGCCTTGTGATTGCCAATGACATTGCACAAGTGCAGTGTTTAGGAGGTCAAGATTTGAATTTATTTCTTAAGATAGTATTTAAGGAGATTTTCTTCTGAACCAAATATCTTTTTTTAATGTCAATTTTGATGTCAAATTTCCTGTTAGGCCCTGGGGAATGTATTCCATTGAATGCTTCACGCTGTTTGTGTTAATTGATTATATACCTTTACATATTTTTTAATGTTTAATTACAATATAAACATATAAATACAAAAAAATATTGTTAAGTTACCTTTGTAAAGTGTAAGGGAATTCTAGAGGGTTCATCACCTTTTTTTAAAAGCATTTGCCAGTAACAGGATTAATTAAAGATTACAAGAAACAAATTTTTCAGGTGTCTGGTCTGTAGCAGACATTAGCAAGCATAAATATCCACCACTCAATTATTTTAACAAAGTTACCCATGCTTGTTTCTAGCAGCTAATCATACATGTTATTCTTGTCAAATGCTAATATCTTATTGTATATGAGTTACCAAGGTCAACTACTGCTCATCATATATCATGGCCTCATGTAAGAAGGGCCTGCGTGCCCAATTTGTAACCCTCACACACTAAGTGCGAAATCCTTGCACTGAGTAGCAAATTAAAACTGTGCATCTGTATGTAAAGTAATACTTCATTCTGATATATATGGAATTGGAATTCGTATTTAGGACTTTACAATATTGTAAAGTGACACATTTCAGCCCTGAAAATGAATTGATGAAAATCGTCAAAATTTTACTAAGGTGACTGGGGTAGTGCTGTTGAATTATCAGTTACCCATGTCAGTAACAGCACGTTAAAAAATGTGTATCAAATAACAGCATCCAGTATGACAATGGTGGTAGACTGTCGCAATAGGCACTGAAACAGTTCTTTAACAGTTTATTTACAAAGAGGCTAGAGGGTATCTGTCTTTAACTTCTCAACTATTTAAAACTATTTGATAATGTATGCCAATTTGGGTTATAAAATATAAATAATTAACGATAAAACTTGCAAAAACTTGGAAGCTTTTAAAACTATAATGGAATGTTTTTATTTAGAAATAGTGGAATAAGTAATTTTATGGTAAATAACATGCATTATAAATTATTTACAAGTATCAATGTACAGTGTTACAAATGATCAGACTTTGAAGAACGTAAAAAAAAATAAAACACTTGTTATTTCAGCTCTGAGAGGGATATGACTCATTTCGTAAATGCTGCATCAACAAAAATTCAAACATAATATCACCACTTAACAAATAATCAGATGCATGCATACACTCTTATTGTTAAAAAGCCTGCAAATATGACAAGGGAACATGCAATAATAATACAGCTATCTATTTCCTTAGAAAAAAAAAAAAAACAATCAGAATTTTTTAACAAGTAAAATGTTTTCCATTACACAAGCAAAGAATAAAACTTTAAAAGTACATGCACAATCAACTACATGACCAAAACTCTTATAGTGATAGCCAAATCAAATTTTCTCTAGTGATACATGTGAACAAGATAGTGATTTCAAACAACATGGATAATTTTGTTTCCATTTGAAGACTAAGATAGGGTCTTAAAGGTACAGGCTCGACCTTGACCGGCACAAATCTCAAAGCCACTTGTAGATGATTGTTACAAAATAAATTACTGGAAAGTTATCTTCCCCTGATTTTGGCAAAGTGGACTGTATGTCTAGACTTCATTGATGACAGGAACCAAACTATATCTTTGAGGCCTCTGACTGCACTAATCCAAGGTTCATGGGTCCCTATGTGAGTATGATACCTTCAAGTGTTCAGGATGGGACTACTTGCAGTTGACGTGTCATTCTGCTTTGGTTATAAATTTCAAATATCCTGTTTTTTTTCTGTCTATCGGTCCAGAGTAGCCTGAGGACAGAGAGCAAGTATTAGCCAAATCTTTATATGAAAACAGGACAAGCAGATGTTGTCCTTTGTCTATAAAATACGAAATAAAAACGAAAGATTTAGACAATAAAACAACAGGCTGACTTTTTCTTCAGGTTCTGCTATTAACCAATCACACACAGAAATAATGAGAGAAGTACAACAGGAATGCATGTTGTCTTTCAGCTTATCATCATCATCATCATGCAGTACGTACTTTACAGAATGCTGCTTCCATCACAGCCTGCCTAAGAGAAACTGGGTGTCTCCCCAGCTCCTATGCCTCAGGCATTTTCCTGCCCAAGGCATCTCCATGTTTTGCGCTTAACTTCCGTCTAGTTGGTCCCTGGATGTCCCAGTAAAATGCCCGTATACACTTTTAGCTCACTCTTATATAACCATACAGGCAGACAGCAAGAAACATACACTGAAAGATTTATTCTTTGTATTTATTTATTTATTATATCTGCTCAACAGCAATAACCCCCCCACCCTCCCATCTTTTTCCAGTCATTGGATATTTTTAGTTGGCTATCACTAACTGAGAGTTGGCTATCACTAACTGAGAGTTGCATGCACATTTTCTTTGAATTAAAAAGTCATGTTTTCACTTAAAATTGATAATTTCAGACAGAGAACGGATGAAGAAAAAGAGAAGATGCACTAGAAACAAAGAACAGCGAGCAGAAACAGATATACAGAATCAATACATATAAAAACAAATCATAATTATGGCTTTATGTACAATACTGAGCAACAACATCAAATATTAAAACAAATGCACACAGAAATACAATTTTTTTACAAGTTAAAAAATACTTTACACTGATGATTAATTATGCTGAAAGCTGCCAGTAATTAATAGTTGTTATTTACAATGAATGTTTCATGTGACCACATTTTAAATATATTTTGCTGCTGTTTTATTCTTCAAACAAATAAAACATAGACTACAATGCCAGTTTGTATAATCACTGGTAAAAATAATTTCTCTGTACAAAATGACACAATAAAGAACAATTAGACAGAAACTAAAAAAGTTATTTCACTGAACATAGCACATGCTTACATGATGGAAAAATAAAATAGTTACACAACTACAGTACTGCAGATACACATGAGAATAGAGAGAGTGAGGAGCAACAATGAAATTCATAATTTGTTCAAATCACCACTAATTCCTGGCATTATGGGGACTAAAAGACAGCAATGGTTTGACAAACAGAGAGAATGAGAGGCAACAGAGACATAAAAACTGCATTTACGAAAGAGTTGAATAGGAGTGAACAAACAGGTAGACAAAGAAGATGGTGGAGAGATAATGTACAGGCAGAACTACAAATATTTGAAGTCACCAAATGGAAAGAGAAGACCAATCACAGAAATGAACGGAGACGGATGATATCTGCAGCAACGAACCTCAAAGGCTCCAAATGTTGAAGAGAAAGATGAACATGAGACTCAGAATTGAAGAGCATGAGAGTTGGTTTCAAGTGAAATGAGAGACTGATGTGGGCAGTGCTTATGTTTGAACATATTCACGATTGCGTACATTTACAACATGGATACAATGAGGGCAGAATGAAATGTGAACTTTATAAGCTCAGCAGATGTCAAAAGCTGCCTAGAAGATACAATCACTATGTTGGAACATTTCTTGGAAATCAATTTAGTGTAACACTTCTATTTTATGTGGCTGGTCTGGAGTCATGACTCTGTTCCTTGTTGGCACTGACTCTCTGACGCTTGTCGGCACTGACTCTCTGGCGCTTGTCGGCACTGACTCTCTGACGCTTGTTGGCACTATACTTTGATAAAGTTGATGTTGCTTATATTTTATTACTTGTGTTTCTACATATTTTCTTTGCCCCTTTTACCTGGCACTTTCCATCCTCAAGTGAATTCTGTTTCCTTTGTTCTGTTGCTGTACTGTATACACACTTTTAATTTATAAACACTTTTAATTTATACAACCTTTTTGGTTTTGATGAGTAAAACTGCATTATCAGTAGTTTTTAAAATGTCAGAATTTGTTTACCCGACCATCCACAATTTTCCCAAGATTCTTATTAAAACAAAAACCCATCTCCACTTGATCTACACAGATTCTTTACAAACTCAGTTACCACTGTCCATTTATATTCTAAAACTGATTTATTTAAAATCAATTTTTCTGATGAAGTAAAAACAACTCTCCCCACAATGCCATAAAATAGAACTGAAACACAATCTTAGGCCATGCACAGAGTTCTGATTCAAGTATCTTTCATCCACTTGTTGCTAACTGCTCTAAATTAACAAATTCATTCACAAATTTTTTTTTTTACTGTCTGAAACAGGCTTATAAAATATTTCTGTTAAATAATAAAAACTTGTTCTAAAATGTTAGTACCCAAAAAAAAAAAACCGTAAAATATTTGGTACATCTGACGATTGTTTCAAGTGCTCGAAAGGCACAGGTTTTGAACAATTTAGAAATGGACACCCATGTCTACTAGTCAGATCTGCAGCAGTTGTGAGTCAAATAACAGAATCGTTTTACATAAAAACTTCCCTTGCTGCCTCTTTCTCCTTCTTTGATGGCTTGGCTGCTTTTGAAGATTTTTCAGTTTTAGGTGACAATTCTGTCTTTGCTGGTTTTTCCGATCTGGAAGCTTTTTCCTTTGAAATCTTTTCTGGTTTCTGAAAGAGACAATAATTTTACATCACAGACCTTTGTAAATAATGACTAACCCTGCTTCTATCATGACAATTAGGAAATCACGATTATTCATTGCAATAACACTAGAGTAAAATCCCACGATTCCCAGCAACCACAATTAATTCAAAATAATGTTCTCCCATAATGCATTTAAATGTATTGCCGGGCATATTTCACTGCATCTCACTGGGCACATTACAAAATAGTTTGTATCAGTATATAGTAGTAGGATGTCCAGTGTAACAGCAGACACCCTGATTTGTGTATTTAAGTTGAAATAATTCATGTTTTGTGGTTCATTTGTGTAAACCAATATGATATTAACTTTTATATTTTTGTTATTGGTAATAAATTTTTGTTATTGGTAATAATTTTTAAACTTCCTGCACAATCTTATGCTGCACTATTTAGAAATTATTTGCGCAACACATGCCAGACTCCCTGTGCTGGTTCCGGAGCCCCATAGTAGGTGAAACAAACTCCTTGTGCGGGTTCCGGGGCCCCATAGTAGGTGAAACAAACTCCTTGTGCGGGTTCCGGGGCCCCATCGTAGGTGAAACAAACTCCTTGTGCGGGTTCCGGGGCCCCATCGTAGGTGAAACAAACTCCTTGTGCGGGTTCCGGGGCCCCATAGTAGGTGAAACAAACTCCTTGTGCGGGTTCCGGGGCCCCATCGTAGGTGAAACAAACTCCTTGTGCGGGTTCCGGGGCCCCATCGTAGGTGAAACAAACTCCTTGTGCGGGTTCCGGAGCCCCATCATAGGTGAAACAAACTCCTTGTGCGGGTTCCGGGGCCCCATCATAGGTGAAACAAACTCCTTGTGCGGGTTCCGGGGCCCCATCGTAGGTGAAACAAACTCCTTGTGCGGGTTCCGGGGCCCCATCGTAGGTGAAACAAACTCCTTGTGCGGGTTCCGGGGCCCCATCGTAGGTGAAACAAACTCCTTGTGCGGGTTCCGGAGCCCCATCGTAGGTGAAACAAACTCCTTGTGCGGGTTCCGGAGCCCCATCGTAGGTGAAACAAACTCCTTGTGCGGGTTCCGGAGCCCCATCGTAGGTGAAACAAACTCCTTGTGCGGGTTCCGGGGCCCCATCATAGGTGAAACAAACTCCTTGTGCTGGTTCTGGGGCCCCATCGTAGGTGAAACAAACTCCTTGTGCGGGTTCCGGGGCCCCATCGTAGGTGAAACAAATTCCTTGTGCGGGTTCCGGGGCCCCATCGTAGGTGAAACTAACTCCTTGTGCTGGTTCTGGGGCCCCATCGTAGGTGAAACAAACTCCTTGTGCGGGTTCCGGAGCCCCATCGTAGGTGAAACAAATTCCTTGTGCGGGTTCCGGAGCCCCATCGTAGGTGAAACAAACTCCTTGTGCGGGTTCCGGAGCCCCATCGTAGGTGAAACAAATTCCTTGTGCGGGTTCCGGAGCCCCATCGTAGGTGAAACAAACTCCTTGTGCGGGTTCCGGGGCCCCATCCTAGGTGAAACAAACTCCCTGCACTGGTTCTGGGGCCCCATCCTAGGTGAAACAAAGAATGGACCCCTGCCCCCAAAACAAGAATGTTGTAAGAGTCGACTAATTAAAAGTGTTCCTTTCGAAGTGCATCTGCCTGAGAGGCGAGGAACCAACAGTTTGCATAGAAATAAGCCAGATCTGTAAAATGGATGTGCATGCACAATTCAAGTCCTCAAGCAAGACTGGTCCAGAAGTGGACAGATAACCAAACATTTCTATCAGAGTTTACAGCTGGTGTTCATGAAGAAGAAGAAGACACATCAGACAACTGTTTACATGAAAAAATTGTTACCTTGGCAACAGGTGGCTTTTCTTTGCCTGGTTTAGGTGCCACCTTTGGGGGTGATTTAATTCTGGATTGTTCCCGTTTGACTTCTTCTCTCAAGTCCAATGACCCCATGCTAGCTGAAGAACTCTCCGACTCAGTCTGAGAGTCTGGTCTCTTCAGTGGTTGGTTCACAACAGCAAGAGGAGTAGTTACCCCACCCAGAGTATGGCGACCAGACATTGGCCTTTTCTCCATGTTCGGTGAATCGGTGGGTACTTGTGGCAGTTTCTCATCAAAGTCTTCCTCTGTAGGAAGCAATGTAATAAAGCAATGATTACTGTGTGTGGTTGTGACAGATTTTTGTGGCATATACAAAGTGCTGCGGATGCGTAGCTGATCACTCACAAAAGTCATCTGGGTTCAAACCAAAGCTCAAAAGCTGAAGACTTAAAACTAATGAAGAACAAATAATTTTTGTTTACTTCTTGCTTGTCTGAAGAATGCTGTTTATTTTCAGAAAATGACCATATTGGCTTCATTCAATGGAGCAATGCAGCATTTCTCGGGACTGAGTATTTTCCCACTTCAACACCTGTTTTCTTTGTCAGACTGAATGATCAAGCAGGGGCACGATTAGGTTTGGGTCACTGACACAGTGTCACTACCTGAGTTTCCATGCATAAGACATTCCCATGAATAGATGTTCCAACCTATAAGATGTACGCATGTACGACAACCCCTAATTTTTGCAGCCTAAAATTAAAAACAAATATTTTAAACATACTCTGTTTATAAGACAACACCCAATTATAAACTTTAAAAAATTGTGGGAAAACAGACTTATACATGGGAAAAAAGGCTATGTGAGACAGACAGGAGCTAATTTCTGGGTGTTTGGGAAACTGGTTCAACATAGCCAATGTTCCAGCGTTGATCCCTAAATACTAGTTGTGGATATAGGCTGCATTATTCCTGTGCTGAGAGTGTAGAAGTCAAAGAAGTGTGCCAAACATCACAATAACAATGTACAGAGAGTGTAGAAGTCAAAGAAGTGTGTCAAACATCACAATAACAATGTACAGAGAGTGCAGAAGTCAAAGAAGTGTGTCAAACATCACAATAACAATGTAAAGAGAGTGCAGAAGTAAAAAAAAGTGTGCCAAACATCACAATAACAATGTACAGAGAGTGTAGAAGTCAAAGAAGTGTGTCAAACATCACAATAACAATGTACAGAGAGTGCAGAAGTCAAAGAAGTGTGTCAAACATCACAATAACAATGTACAGAGAGTGCAGAAGTAAAAAAAGTGTGCCAAACATCACAATAACAATGTACAGAGAGTGTAGAAGTCAAAGAAGTGTGTCAAACATCACAATAACAATGTACAGAGAGTGTAGAAGTCAAAGAAGTGTGTCAAACATCACAATAACAATGTACAGAGAGTTTAGAGGTCAAAGAAGTGTGTCAAACATCACAATAACAATGTACAGAGAGTGTAGAGGTCAAAGAAGTGTGTCAAACATCACAATAACAATGTACAGAGAGTGTAGAAGTCAAAGAAGTGTGCCAAACATCACAATAAGACAGTTTTGAAAGACAAGGAGGAAGAGATAAAGATAATGTGAATCAGGACGAGAGGCAGAATAAGAAAAAGCAACAAGAAGACAACCAAATCACAGACCAAATGTAAAAAGACAAAGAAGGTCACATACCATTATGGATAATAATTTCACGGGTCATAAACACGGGAGGGTCAAGCTGAGGAAGTGGTGACTGAAACGGGGTCCTGCCGTCATCAATGGGAGCTGTGTTCTGGTTGGACTTGTTGATGTTCAGCGACAGGTTCTGGATGTTCTTGATATGCTGATGGTCATACTGCAGCTCCTTGTGCTCATTCACTGCAGAGATGAAATTAATTTTGATAAATCACAGACATACAAAAGTATTATAACTGTATGTGTACGCTTCATAGCAGGTGATTGATCTGTCTTTTTCATGATTTATTGAATGCCCAATTTATGAATAAATAAATGTTTGCTTTAGAACAGGGGTTCTCAACCTTCCTAATGCTGTGACCCTTTAGTACAGTTCCTCAGGTTGTGGTGACCCCCAACCCTTTAGTACAGTTCCTCAGGTTGTGGTGACCCCCAACCCTTTAGTACAGTTCCTCAGGTTGTGGTGACCCCCAACCCTTTAGTACAGTTCCTCAGGTTGTGGTGACCCCCAACCCTTTAGTACAGTTCCTCAGGTTGTGGTGACCCCCAACCCTTTAGTACAGTTCCTCAGGTTGTGGTGACCCCCAACCCTTTAGTACAGTTCCTCAGGTTGTGGTGACCCCCCAACCCTTTAGTACAGTTCCTCAGGTTGTGGTGACCCCAATCATAAAATTATTTTCGTTGCTACTTCATAACTTCAGTGAATATATGTTTTCCTATGCTATTAGGCGACCCTTGTGAAAGGGTCACTTGACCCCCAAAAGGGTTGGGACCCATAGGTTGAGAACCGCTGCTTTTATAATGAATTTGACTTTGCTCTGGACTGAATGGTTTGGACCCCATGCGTGGGTTCTAAGGCTTTACTGTCGGAGAAAAAATACCTCCCAGGTTCTAAAAAAAAAGCTTTTCATATTAAAATCTTAATGATTAGAAGCTTGATGAAAACAGATCTGTTGGGCCGAAAAGCTGAGATATTTCAAACCATAAAACAACATGTCAACTGCCCATTTAATGGTGACTGCAAGAGAAGATGGTCTGGAGAAAGCTGCAGTGATCTGAGAGATTCAGGGTGTTAGAGAAAGCTGCAGTGATCTGAGAGATTCAGGGTGTTAGAGAAAGATGGAGTGATCTGAGAGATTCAGGATGTTTGAGACAGCTGCAGTGATGTGAGAGATTCAGGGTGTTAGAGACAGCTGCAGTGATCTGAGAGATTCAGGGTGTTAGAGAAAGCTGCAGTGATCTGAGAGATTCAGGGTGTTAGAGAAAGATGGAGTAATCTGAGAGATTCAGGGTGTTAGAGAAAGATGGAGAACATGTTGAATGATCTGACAGTTTCTTGGAATTTGATCAGCTGTCACATAAAGGACATATGTTTCTGAAGGAACATATGATCACTACGGAATGCAAGTGTCATTCCAGTGAGCCCCCCTGTGTGGGTTCTGGGGCCCCATTTTGGGAAAAACAAGAACAGACTGCCTCCCCAACAAGCATGTTGTAGGAGTCGACTGACTGGGAGCTTCCTTCGGAGTCAGAGAGCATCTGCTGGAGTGGCAAGAAACAACTAACTGCACATAAATAAGCCAGTAAAATAAACGTACACACGAAACTCTGGCCGAGGCACAAAGCCAAAGTCCAAATGGACGAACAACCAGGACTTTCAAGCCGGTGAACAAAGAAGTAGAAGAAACAAAGTGGGTGATTTCTAACAGAACATGTCAGGTTTAAAAAAAAAACAACAACTAACTTTAAGGCAGAAAACAAAAATTACTAAATTCCACAATCATCGTCATAAACCACTTCGGCCGTTAAGCTTTGAGGGAAGGAATAATTTGCTGTCCAGTGCATGCGGCTGCCACTGGATATTGTCATGCCGTGAAGGTGTAGAGTCTTTAATGTTGTTGATCCATTTTTTTGCGGCCATCCTCTTGCTCTTGTAGCTGAATTTCACCTCAAAATTAGGCATTCTGCTAGAGAAAAACTGTTGAATGTAACTTCTGTAGAGTCAGAACAGTATTGATTATGCTGTAACTTCTGTAGAGTCAGAACAGTATTGATTATGCTGTAGCTTCTGTAGAGTCAGAACAGTATTGATTACGCTGTAACTTCTGTAGAGTCAGAACAGTATTGATTACGCTGTAACTTCTGTAGAGTCAGAACAGTATTGATTATGCTGTAACTTCTGTAGAGTCAGAACAGTATTGATTACACTGTAACTTCTGTAGAGTCAGAACAATATTGATTACTCTGTAACTTCTGTAGAGTGAGAACAGTATTGATTACACTGTAACTTCTGTAGAGTCAGAACAGTATTGATTACACTGTAACTTCTGTAGAGTCAGAACAGTATTGATTACGCTGTAACTTCTGTAGAGTCAGAACAGTATTGATTACACTGTAACTTCTGTAGAGTCAGAACAGTATTGATTACACTGTAACTTCTGTAGAGTCAGAACAGTATTGATTACACTGTAACTTCTGTAGAGTCAGAACAGTATTGATTACACTGTAACTTCTGTAGAGTCAGAACAGTATTGATTACACTGTAACTTCTGTAGAGTCAGAACAGTATTGATTACGCTGTAACTTCTGTAGAGTCAGAACAGTATTGATTACACTGTAACTTCTGTAGAGTCAGAACAGTATTGATTACACTGTAACTTCTGTAGAGTCAGAACAGTATTGATTACACTGTAACTTCTGTAGAGTCAGAACAGTATTGATTATGCTGTAACTTCTGTAGAGTCAGAACAGTATTGATTACACTTAACTTCTGAAGAGTCAGAACAGACTCACGTGTAGACAAGCAAATTGGCTGAAGACTACAGAATTGTACCAATACAGCCCAGTAACGTGCTCTAGAAGCCACATAACCAAGTATAAGAATACTCTACAATTCTCATGCCTAGGGCTAAACGTGCTCCACACGCCAGGCTTGTTTGTCAGCAACAGTCAACATACAACCACTATTATCGTGCATCGATCTCACAATACTCACAGTTATCTTGACTTCTGAATTTGACAACAGTATTCAGTGACTGCCGACTGTGAGTTCTTTCAAACTGCTTGGAGCGCCGGTCAGCCATTGATGCATTCAAACGAGTCTGATACAAAGTACGTCCAGAGTAACGGTACTTGGAACCAAATCGAGGAAAGCCTGCTCTCTTCTTGGCATCCTCTGCTGATCTGAGTCTAACAAGAAAGTTATGTCAAACAAACAAATTAATGAATGCATCATGAATTATCTATAAATAAATGCACCTTCAATGATTTATACATATATCTGCACCACTGGATGGTGAATTATTGCAGGACAAGGCAGATGTGGTCAGGGCCTTTTGGGAGCAAGCAACGGAGTTAGAAGCGAAACAAGATTATTAGGGCCTGAAGAGAATGAGGCACCTGGGTGTAACCAGAGGGTCTGGCCGGCTGACTACACTCAGAGGAAAGGCAAGACAGACATATAACCAGATTAAGACCAGTACCATTAGTATTGGAACTCTGCGCTGGCTGCTGAAGATGAGGACAGAGCACACATGGGAATGCCCAGAGTGCTGTGATGGCAATTCTTGACCTCAACTCAACTGATCTATACATGTCCTCTGTATCAAACCAGATGTAAAAAAAAAAAAGATGTTTATGAATCATTTATGACATAAAGTTCAAGCCCAATATGACTGTTATGTTCATTTAACATATCCAGGCAGTCATCTGCAAGAAAAAGGTCAAGGAGTAGGATAGGAAAAGCCAACATTAGAAAAGGAATTCAAGATAGCCTTATAAATACACTTACACACATAAATAATTATTTAAAGTACTTTATGAATTCTGAAACCATTAATGGAAACATTTTGGCAGATAATTACAACTGCTGTGTTTTCAAAATGGCCGACTTTATTTTGGCTATTCTCCCATATTTTGTGTGCCCCCAAACTTCAGTCAAAGCTCAAATCAGTTTTATTTTAGTGGAGTATTTTTATTTTGTATAGTTACGTACAACATATCAAATGAGAATTAGTTGAGACAGGAAAAAGTTATGAAGTACATATGTCATATTGGTGTTAAGTGTCCTTTTCTCTCACTGTTTTTCATTTCTCAGATAAACTGGTAGCCTTGTAGTAGATATTTGCCTGCATGCTTAAAGGTTTCAGGTTTGCAGCTTCATCACGAAAGAGTTTTGTGTTAAATGGTCTTAGCTCCCAGTTGAACTCAGCCTAAAATGAGTACCAGGTAAAATTCTGGGAAGTAAAGGAAGTCATAATTATACTGACCACATCACTTAATGAGTGGTGACTGGTCAACAACAAATAGGAGTCGAGCCTCATATGATTAATGTTAAGGGACCTTAACTCTGTTGGTCAGAGAAATTCAGAAATTCTCAGTGAAATAGCTCCAACTAGTCTGATGCTTTCCAATCTGGCTTACAATCTCCTAGGCCTGTCTTCTCGAATTTTTTTTGGGGGGTCATGGCACCTTTTTTTAAATTAAAATATTTCCACGGCACCCTAACCTAAGTAAAAGTATGACCATTTGTGTCTTAATTAAATTAATTATGAAGCTTTTACAATATTTCGTGGTGCCCCTGTAAAGAGGTCGCGGCTCCCCAGGTCGCACAGTTTAGGAATCACTGCCCTAGGCTAATGTGGTATTTCAGGACAACAGTAACCAAAACAAATAAGTGGTTAAAAACATACCTCAAGAAGGCATGATGCTCAACAGAAATCTTCCAGAGACGTTTAGCCATTTTGTTGTTTGGAAGTCGAAATGTAATCCAGCTCTCAAATGTTTCAAACTACCAGGAGAAAATAAAGATGACAAGCTCATTTACATAAATCTTCTCATATCACATTTGATTTATCACTAGTCTAATTTCCCATTCCATCTATACTGGCTCACTTCTGTTAAGTGTATGTAGAATTACAATTTCCATTGTCATGTCAAAAATAATACTTGGCTTATCTACGTTGATGTCATTTAGAAGACATAAGACAGGCGTACTTTCAGTTGGATAAGTTAGAAAATGACAATGTTACTCTGCGTCTATGTGAGCCAGAACTTGAGTTAAGAATGTTTATTTACCACCCAAGTTTGACTGAGCAGGTCAAATTTGTTTAGGTAAACAAAAGGTCCAAAAAAAAGCAGACACTGTCAGGGATATTCTTTTTCAGTGTCTGCTCTTAAAAAGGTGGCCTACACATTGTTTTGTGGTATACAGCCAGGCTGTGATTTCTGTACCTTTCAGCCAAACATATCCAATTTCAGCAAACTTCATTTAGTCACCTTTTATGACATGCATGTTAGAGACAGGAGGTAGTGGCTCTGATATGTTTCCCCAGAATGGGGCCTTGGAACCCACACAGGGTGTCAGGGGTATCAAGTAATGTGACTTCTGTATATCAGTGCAGGAACCCACACAGGGTGTCAGGTGTATCAAGTGATGTGACTTCTGTATATCGTACAGGAACCCACACAGGGTGTCAGGGGTATCAAGTGATGTGACTTCTGTATATCAGTGCAGGAACCCACACAGGGTGTCAGGGGTATCAAGTGATGTGACTTCTGTATATCAGTGCAGGAACCCACACAGGGTGTCAGGTGTATCAAGTGATGTGACTTCTGTATATCAGTGCAGGAACCCACACAGGGTGTCAGGGGTATCAAGTGATGTGACTTCTGTATATCAGTGCAGGAACCCACACAGGGTGTCAGGTGTATCAAGTGATGTGACTTCTGTATATCAGTGCAGGAACCCACACAGGTTAGAAATAATGCAATATTATTGAACTATGTCTAGAGCACTAGTTGTTTGTCAGAGAATCATGAACTATACTACAAAGCTTCCTATTGTGATACACAAACATAGGGTATATTTTCTAAATTTGTTACTTACTTCTGCAGGTCGAATTCTCAGCAGGAATTTGTTCCGTCTGTAGGAGATTTTGAGAATCTTTGGCCAAACAAATCTGTTGATTCTCAGGTTGTTCCTGTACACAGAGATGCCAGTAGAACCAACTCCAATCATGATGTCCACATAATCTGAATCCTGATGAAAAGAATTGTTAACATATATGAAACACTCCATAATAAAATTTCTGCTTTAAATGATGATGCATGGAAACCATGACAAAATAACAGTAAAACATTTTACATATGATGACCTCTAAGCTATCAGAAGAGTTGGAAAAAATATATATATATACTGGTTGTGCTCCTGCTGCTTTGAACGACCAACCCAGACAGAATAACACCTGGCACAATCAAGTTTCCTGTCTTTAACCCACTGACTGCCATTAACCCTTGCACTGTCCCAGATATCATATATTTCTAGTGTGCATTAAAAATACCATAACTTCACAATTATTTGACATAAACTCACAATATTGTGTATTTCTGCACCAAACAGAATAAAGAACAAATCACTTGGACAAAAACAGTGTAATCCTTTTTTTTTTACATTATCATGTGGCTGTAGACTGGTACAAAATAAAAGGCAAAAGATTTTTTCTCATTCTCACACAATTTAGACTAACAAAAATTCCATAACTTCACAACTATTTAACATCTCATTCTTCTGCACCAAACTGAAAAGAGAAGAAATTTCAAGAACAAAAACTACGGCTATCTTCTGAATAACGGTCCCAAATTATCGAGGCAGAAAATATACCCTAACAGGGCCTCGGTCATGTGTCAACTGCGCACTTCTGGGGACTATACTGCCACCACCGAGAGTTTCCCCCATGCCGATTATGCGGCTTGGATTGGGGCTAAAATTGATGGCTGGGACACACAAGCAAAAAAAATCAAGGCAGCTGCAGGAAATGCGGTAACTGCTGCTCGTGAGTCCCAGCCACCTAGTTTCGCCCCAATCCACTCGAGGGATACTCTCGGCGGTGGTGGAAGTGCGCAATTGACACGTGACTGAGGCCCTGTTAGGGTATATTTTCTGCCTCGATAATCTGGGACCGTTATTCGGAAGATAGCCAAAACTACATATCTTCTTGTAAATCACTACTGTGTGGCTGTAGATTAGTGCCAAAAAATGTAAATAATGTAACATTTTGGCCGAAATAATTCTACATAAGAGATCTGCCTAACTGTGAAATAATATTCTGCCAATTCTGTGGTTGTTTGCCATTTCGCACCAGAAATTCTGAAGCAGTATGACTGAACTTTCAAATTCAAAAGGCCACAAGAACAGTCTTTTCACAAACAACCCATAGCAGGAATCACATAACGGTAAATGTTTAATTCATGGTGAAATAATTTTCACTAAACTCTAAGCCACAGACCCATAATGTACAAATTCTACAGCAACACATTTAATAATATATCATTGAAGCACATACATGGAACAGTCCACGCGAACTAATATAACATATCTATGTGTCGAGACCAGTCAAGAGGAAAAAACCCACTTCTTCCATAGGACGGCATCTACTCAATTCTAAACACATAATTGACACAGACACTGCTTTCCGTGTGGTTTACCACACTCCGAACAGGACACTTTTGAGAATCGCAGAAGACATTAAAAAAAAAAAAAACCCAACAACTCCCTCCTTTGTAAGCAGACAGAATTTATCGTACATGTGAAGTTACCGTGGTAGACAGTGACTATGGTAAGCTTCCGGCGGCCATGAAAGAGAGACAATGTATCGAAGAGACTATTAGCATTCCAGTCGAATTTATTCAGTTTTGTGCTTTATTTTATGTTGATGTAACTCTGTAGTAACGCACCTGATGAGATTCAGCGAAATATGCCTCGCAATAACTTGTGCAATGTATTGTTTGTATCCGCATTATTAAAATAACATATAATAATCACCTCCGATTGTCACTGCTGATAAGCGCAACATTGTTCTTCCTGTTTCAACAATGTTTTTAATGACCATTAATAAGAATTATCAAAGTCAGTCATAAAACAATAGTTTTACCTTCACTTTCCGATTTAAAGAAACAAGAAATTAAAACTCTCACCTTCCAATTTGAAGAAACAAGGAACTATAACTCTCACCTTCCAATTTGAAGAAACAAGGAACTATAACTCTCACCTTTGCCTTGTGAAGATCAATGCCATACAGAGGTATCTTCTTTGCATATTCAAGATAATGTAACTCTGCTTGTTCTGGAGTCTGGCCCCTGAGGATGAGAATGCTGCCGTGTTAAAAATTTCACAAATTCCAAGAAAAAATTGACAATAAAAACAAGGGACTTGTCTCTCCACCATGTGGCATTCTGGTTAGGTTGGGCTGACTTGTCTCCACACCGTGTGGCATACTGGTTAGGTTGGGCTGACTTGTCTCCACAGCATGTGGCATACTGGTTAGGTTGGGCTGACTTGTCTCCACACAGTGTGGCATACTGGTTAGGTTGGGCTGACTTGTCTCCACACCGTGTGGCATACTGGTTAGGTTGGGCTGACTTGTCTCCACAGTGTGGCATACTGGTTAGGTTGGGCTGACTTGTCTCCACACGGTGTGGCATACTGGTTAGGTTGGGCTGACTTGTCTCCACAGCATGTGGCATACCAGTTAGGTTGGGCTGACTTTCCACACAGTGTGGCATACCGGTTAGGTTGGGCTGACTTGTCTCCACACGGTGTGGCATACTGGTTAGGTTGGGCTGACTTGTCTCCACACGGTGTGGCATACTGGTTAGGTTGGGCTGACTTGTCTCCACAGCATGTGGCATACTGGTTAGGTTGGGCTGACTTGTCTCCACACCGTGTGGCATACTGGTTAGGTTGGGCTGACTTGTCTCCACAGCATGTGGCATACTGGTTAGGTTGGGCTGACTTGTCTCCACACAGTGTGGCATACTGGTTAGGTTGGGCTGACTTGTCTCCACAGTGTGGCATACTGGTTAGGTTGGGCTGACTTGTCTCCACAGCATGTGGCATACTGGTTAGGTTGGGCTGACTTGTCTCCACACAGTGTGGCATACTGGTTAGGTTGGGCTGACTTGTCTCCACACAGTGTGGCATACTGGTTAAGTTGGGCTGACTTGTCTCCACAGTGTGGCATACTGGTTAGGTTGGGCTGACTTGTCTCCACACGGTGTGGCATAATGGTTAGGTTGAGCTGACTTTCCACCCGTGTGGCATAATGGTTAGGTTGAGCTGACTTTCCACACCGTGTGGCATAATGGTTAGGTTGAGCTGACTTTCCACACTGTGTGGCACAATGGTTAGGTTGAGCTGACTTTCCACAGCATGTGGCATACTGGTTAGGTTGGGCTGACTTGTCTCCACACAGTGTGGTATAATGGTTAGGTTGAGCTGACTTTCCACACCGTGTGGCATAATGGTTAGGTTGAGCTGACTTTCCACACCGTGTGGCATAATGGTTAGGTTGAGCTGACTTTCCTACCGTGTGGCATAATGGTTAGGTTGAGCTGACTTTCCACACCGTGTGGCATCTGGTTAGGTTGGGCTGACTTGTCTCCACACGGTGTAGCATACTGGTTAGGTTGGGCTGACCTGTATCCACATCGTGTGGCATTACTGGTTAGGTTGGGCTGATTTGTCTCCACATCGTGTGGCATACTGATTAGGTTGGGCTGACTTGTCTCCACATTGTATGGCATACTGGTTAGGTTGGGCTAGCTCCATATTTTATAGTCTCATGAGCACTTGATGGGTCATGTGGGTTAGCATTATCAACAGTAGACCCCTATATGTCCCACACTGTGACAAAACTATACTTTTCTACTACATATGCCCTTTTTTTTTAAGTTTATAACAGTACGTACAAAATGTGCCATTCTTAACCTGTCTAATTAAAGATTTTTTCCTATTTCTGTCTGTTTTCAACATTCTGTACATTTTCAACAATTAATGGTACCAATCTGGTGATTTGTAAGATTGTATAGCAAAGTCCAAGCTCTAGAGGATTGTATGGGAAAGTCCAGTCTCTCAAGAACTGTACAGAAAAGTCCAGGCTCTAGAGGATTGTATGGGAAAGTCCAGTCTCTCAAGAACTGTACAGAAAAGTCCAAGCTCTAGAGGATTGTATGGGAAAGTCCAGTCTCTCAAGAACTGTACAGAAAAGCCCAGGCTCTCAGGGACAGATGTGCTTCAGGTTGTTGGGCCTCTGAAGTCAGCAACATCTGTGTGATGTGACTTGTTATGTGAATAATTTAATGTTGAATGATTTAGCGCCAGGGTTTCTAATCGCATGCCTCCCCCCCCCCCTCTCTTTCTTAAAGCAACAAATAAAATAAAATTAGGAAATTAAAAAGTATTAAAGAAAATAAAAACATGCAGAGTGCCATCTCCCTTACTTGTGCTGTCTGTGCAAGGCAGCTATTTTGAACAGCAGATCCTCCGTCTGCTCTGGAGCAAATGGCATGTTCCGGATATAGTCGATACCAGTCCCATGATCTACAGGGTCGTAGTCTCCAATATCTGCCTGGACAGCGTATGATCCCAGCATTGCCAGGGTGGCTTGTGAGCAGGGCAGCCTAAAATAAAATAAAATTTCATTTAAAAAAATATGATTTTGAAAAGAAGTATTTCGTTTCATATGGATGGCAGTAAAAGTGCTCTCTTCACATCGTTATCTGAGATCTAATGTGCGATCTACTAATTTAAATGTGTCTTATTTTGTAAAAATCTATATCATCAACACTATGAATCAAAGCAGGATACGGACATCACTTGTAAGCAGAAAGTTTTCCACCAATCAGTGTTTGTGATTGACAAGAGAGTGTAAGCAGAAAATTTCATACCAATCAGCGTTTGTGATTGACAACAGAATATAAGAAGAAAGTTTAGCACCACTCAGAGTTTGTCATTTTCAGTCTGTGGTGTGGACTCTAGCTGGCTTATCTCTTTTGTTTTCTTCAGATTTCTTATCAGCTCAAGGACTTAAAGATGACACATACATCAGAGATGACACATACAACATCAGAGACGACACATACAACATCAGATATGACACATACAACATCTGAGACGACACATACAACATCTGAGACGACACATACAACATCAGATATGACACATACAACATCTGAGACGACACATACAACATCAGATATGACACATACAACATCAGAGATGACACATACAACATCAGAGATGACACATACAACATCAGAGATGACACATACAACATCTGAGACGACACATACAACATCACAGATGACAGGTACATACACATCACTATAGCAAATATAATAAGAGAGGGAAACTGGCACATGTGACCATGAAAGATTTATGAGAGGAAGATTCTAGACAGTCTTTTGTCGTGGCCTAGAGGTGTGCTGGCACATTAGCTGATAAATGCTATGGAGGGGTATGACCACACATGCAGTCAGCAAGGCACTTGATGATGATGAGGAAATAACTGACAGGTTTCCATGGCGATTCATTACAAAGGGCAGATCACTATAAATAAAATGACACTTACTTTCCACTGATGATATCCTTTCTGATTTGTAAACAAACAAGGTATCTGTCATAAAAAAAACATTAATAATTATGAGTACATAAACTAACTTTAATATAATCTGACTAAACACAGAAACAGAAAAACTATAATAACTTTATCTGAGTAAACAGAGAAACATAAACAGAGAAAGTATAATAACTTCATCTGAGTAAACATAAGTACATATGCAATGTTTGGACTAGGACTTTCTCTGGTAATTCTAGCATCATAAAATGGCACACACTGACCCTTTGAACTCTGTTCCCTTGACCTTTAGAACCCCATGTACCGAAGATCCTAACAAGAGAGTAAAAGATACCTTGCAAGAAGTCAAGCACAGCAAGCAATAGACAGAACATGCCTGAGGGAAAAACCAGCATCAGTATAACGGAGTAGCAACGTTTTTATGTGGACTATGAGGCAGAGACGACCACTCCCACATTCAACTTTACAGCAGGCGCTGTTGCCAAAACCAGCGGCATGGTTCCATGGCGGCTAGGAACTAACCGCTGCCTACGACGATTCATCTTCTTACTATTTCTCTTTATTATCTGTTTACCAGCGACTTTACCACACAAAAATCATCACCAACACTGAAATGATTAAAATACTTCTGATGAAGTAACTAACTTATTTTCTGTGGGTAAAGCTTAAACATTTTCTTTAAACTATCCACTGTAAGTCACAGAGAAAAAGCTCACATAAAATACGTTATTTATTCAGCAAAAATATTTTTACTTGCAGTTAAAAACATCATAAAAGGAACAAATTATAAAATATTTAATCATTCTATGATTAGCACAGACCATTTCCCTGCCATCATTTTCTGCAAAAGTTATGCAGACATTAAAAAAATATATTTAAGCCTTCAAGTTACTTTTATACACACATCAGGAAAGTATCTTTCAGTCTCTAATAGATAAACATGCCTACACACAACAGGAAAGTATCTTTCAGTCTCTAATAGATAAACATGCCTACACACAACAGGAAAGTATCTTTAAGTTTCTAATAGATAAACATGCCTACACGCATCAGAAAATTATCTTTCAGTCTCTAATAGATAAACATGCCTACACACATCAGGAAAGTATCTTTCAGGAGTCTCTAAGACACACATACTTGTTGGGCAGGCCTATAAAATGTAGGTCTTGCCCTATATGCCCAATACACCTGAAGGCGTGGAAAAGGGTCCTTTACACACAACATGTATCAACAAAACAGCACTGCAGCCATACCTGGTCAAGCTCTCTGCAAGATGGGTGGGATCTGGCGGATAAAACTTGAGCGCAAATTCAAAGTACATCTTTCCTTCTGAAATTAATGTCAAGCTGGTATTAAATTCAAAGTACATCTTTCCTTCTGAAATTAATGTCAAGTTGGAATAATAAACAAACACAGATTATTATAATACATTTTTAAAAAATCAAATACTTTGTTTTTCAATGTAACATGTGGACCATATCAATAACAAGGAAAACAGGAACAATTAAAAGAAAGAGCCAAGTGATTTCTTCAAGCCATCGCACATCTTTTCCTCTTCCTATATTTTATAGCTAGACACATATTAACATGATACATACTCCCACCCCCAGAGCTTGTGGCCAGGATAATCTATTCCTTTTGTGGTGGTTTATGTCGAGAAGGGCTCTGACCAAAAAGTCTTTGTGTTATGTATGAGTATGTTGTTTCCCTTCTCCCTTTCATGAACTCTTGAGTCTTAAGGAAGGAATACATCATATGTTCATAGGTTACTACCTAGAAGTCCAATGAATACAGTGCAAAGATTTTATGTCTCTCTTTACCACCCCTTGGGCCTGTGATGCTAAACCCTGTGGAACTCAAACTTCCACAATTAAGTGGATTCATTTCTTGGTACTAGCCTGAGTGCAGCCATTTCTGTTTTCATAAATTTTAAGAATTGTTCTGCAACATTTAAGCTTAAAAGTCTCTTTTTTCTTTGGTGACTGTTACATGGCCCATGCATATGCAAGAAAAGTATAAAACTTTGGGTAGAATCTAACATGAACTTATAAACAATATGTCAACACTGAACAGAAGTATCCAGATTATAAAACAGCCAGTACACACCTCGCAACCACACATTCATTATGTTTATACACCAAAGTAGGATGCATTTCACAGCCACACAGTCATTCTAAATTTTCTACACAGTCAGAACACATATAACACACAGACTCAACAACTTGAAGTAAAGCACTTACTCTTTTTCTGTTTGGTGATCTTTTTGTTGAGATCAAGCCAGTACTGAGGAAATATGAAAGGTTAATAACCCAACAACAGAAAAATGTTTACAAATCATCTTTTGTTTGTAAGAGTGTTCTTTGACACATGTAAACTCACAATGGTTCAAAATATAGTCAACAATTTGCAGAGACTAAATGAAACAGATTACATGTTTAGAGTTTATATCCTGAGAAAAAGATTTCACTGAACATTATTTAAATATTACAAGACAGACAAGAAAAAGTAACCTTAAGAGATGTACAAGATAAGAAAAACTTACACCCTAAAGATCTGGAAATAAAGGAAAACAAATCTTATGCATTTTAAACTTAATTAATTTATGATATTTTCCCATTTAATTTTTAACTCTGCAAATTAAAAATTCCTAACTTCTTGACTCTTTGAGTCCCAGAGGGTTTAGCATCACAGACCCAAGGGGCAGTAGAGAAAGACATGAAATTGGCACATCATGGATTCACTGGGCTTCCAGGTAGGAAGCTATGGACGTATGATGAGTTTCCTAGGTCCCAAAGAGTTAATGTAATTATAAATAAGCAGAATTTCATTAATATTTCCTTAAAAAAAAAAAGTATCTTTGGGTGAAGAAACTGCATGTAAAATAAGCACGACTTACTTTAACATGTTCAGGATCTTGTTCTTCTGAAAACTGTAGGCCAAAGTAGTCTTGCTCTAGTAGATCCAAATATTCACACACATTCTCAAATAGCACCTGACCAGTTGCACGTTTCTGTAAGTAGAAGTAAGCTTTGTCAATAATACAAAACAAACTCTGCAACATTTAATGACCCAACCAAAAATTACTACCAGAAAGAAGAAAACTCAGTTTGACACAATTTCCATTTAACTTCTACCATATTGATCTGATGCTAAGGCTGGTGAGCCATGGTTGAGGTTTTTTTTCAATAAAAGCCACTCTTCATTTCCTTGAGGGGCATGCAGGGCAGACATTAGACTGCGGGACACGCTTGGCAGATTATGGGACACACAGGGCAGACACTAGTCTGTAAGACTAATGGAACCAGTTAACAAGCCCTATTTATGAAATGAGGGAAAAAAAATTCTGTATGAAAAATCACAACAATTAAGACTAAAAATTCATAAGAAAGATACAGAAAATAAATTAGGAAAACAATTCCCTCTGATTACTTTCAGTCTTTCTGTGTGGGTTCCTAGGTCCCTTTGTCTGAGAAACAGTACAAACCTACTGCACCCCCCCCCCCCCCCACAACAAGCATGTCACAGCTTTGACTAATTAGGGATGACTCCTTTAAAGTTGGAGTGCATCTGTATGAGAGGTTAGGAACCAGCAGACTGCATACAAATAAGCTAGATCTGTCAAACAGACATGCATACAAACTCAAGCTCTGGAACTTGACCAAAGTCTAGAAGTGGGCGAACACCAGAACTTTCTGCCAGAGTTTACAGCTGATGAATGCCAAGAAGAGGATAAATGAGCTCAAGTAACATTTGCTCAGTGCTGAAGGAGTTACTGCATTTTTACACTGTTACATTTTCTTCTACTCATCTTGTCTGTCATTATTGCTCAATTTTAGTAGGCATCTAAAGTCTATCTGTTGTTGCCAACTTTACTCACATCAACAATTCCTTCAAACTCTTCTCCATTCAGCAGCAACACTTTACACTGCATTGGCCGTTGAATTTTAGTCTTGTTGTCCTGCTGTACAGGTTGCCGAACCGCTGAGGTCGAGTCCCGTTTAGCAGACCCACCATTAGCAGTCATGGTGGGAGAAGCGACGCTAACAACTGCACCCGTGGAGAATATATTTGCGTTTACAACAAAATATCTGCAAAGAAAAGAGAACAATATTATTTAATTCTGCAACTGATTCTTCTTCTGCTTTCTAGTGGAGTATAGGCCCTCAACCAACTCTAGGCCCAAGTTGTTCTATTTTTTGTCATTGCATGCAGCCGTGTTTTTTTTTTTTTTGGGTCTTCTGTTAAGTTTTTATGCCCCTGTAGGTTCCAGTGCAAAGACATTCTAGTTATATTGTTCTCAGGTTTTCTCAACATCTGTCCTATCCCATGCCAGGATCTTCCCACTCCGACACACCCCCCCTCCAAATAGTCAACTCTTATGACATGCTTGTTGGGGAGGCAGTAAGTCTATTCTTCTTCCCCGCCACAATGGGGCCCCAGAACCCACACAGGAAATATATTCATACAATACAGAGGCAGTCTGAACCCACTATTTTTTAAATTATCTGCACTCGATACCATAATCAAAAGTAAAGCTGTTTGGTGCCAATTCCCCTGCAGCCTGGAATCGAACCAGGTATTTCTGAGTTACCAAGCATGTTTGATTTGCAATGCTAAAGCCACAGACAGTGACTATGCTAGCCTCGCTAAGACCAAAATGAGAAGCACAACACAGTAACAATATAACTTCACAAAAGGTAACACTAACTTCTCATACATGTCAGTCATTAAAGCTGAAAAATACAACCAGAAATGAAGAATCTAAAACTGAAAATGTCATTGTCATCCAGTTAGAGCTTGTGACACAGTTCAAACAAATATATGTCTAGTGGCCAGTTTAAACTTTTAATAGGCACCAAGCAAGAGTTTCAACAATTCTCAAATATTTTTTGTTTCTGAGCAGCAAGTTTAAACTGTTGTTTTATTTTTTCTTTCTTACACCCCACAGTATTTTAACAAAACTTCTACCCCGACTAAACAACTACCCTAACAGGGCCTCAGTCCTATGAAAAATGCAGACTTCCTGCAACGAACAAATCATGGCAAAACTAGGATTACCTGCCACTTTAAGAGACGCAACACTGCAGACGATAGTAGCAGACCACAACAGCGACTGTTGACAATTTCGAGCGTTTCTGCAGACGATACTAGCGACCACTGAAAATTTCAAGACACGCAACATTACAGATGATAATAGCGACATGGTGGTGAGACCACGCGCTCTGACACAGATTAGCGATAGTGTTCTTTCGATTAAACTCACCGCAGAGTGTATCCCCCGCGCCACAGATCGGGATCTAAACTATATGCCTGGGACTCACGAGCAAATAAATTGGAGAAAGTTGCAGGAGATGCAGTAGCTGCTGCTTGTGAGTCCCAGCCATCTAGTTTAGCACCCATCCGCGCTGCGCGTAGTGATGTGGGGGGTACTGTCGGCGGTGCGGCATAGTCGCAGAAATAGGTCCGTAATTAACATATCACTGAGACCTTGTTAGAGCATTTGTTTTGTTATTTCGGAGCCGGTCCTAGTTTTGCCGCGATTTGTTCCTCTGCAGAAAGTCCGACAAGTCCGCATTTTTTTATAGGACTGAGGCCCTGTTAGGGTATTTGTTTGGCCGCCATAATGCCAGGGTAGAAGTTCGGAGGAGAGCCAAATTGTGATATAAAGATATCCCATTCCCCCTAGAAGTGACACACAGGCATAGATAAGGTACCCTTCTTCCTTCTAAAGAGATTGTTAATACTAATAGTCATCCAGCTAGGCAGGTTTTTTTAAAAATTAGTATAAAATAATTCTGAAAAGGAAAAATACTACTAAAGCTTTTTGTTTCGTGCTTTAGACTGACAGATGTGGAGTTTTGACAGACAGTCAGTGACAGTTGACAGAAATCATGACTTACTACTAAGAAGACACATATGTGAGTGAGCGTTCATGAGTATTCCATTTAAATTAGTTTTTAATACTCTATTAAACTCATTGGTCGCACTATGGAATTAAATTTCTGTAACTTCCTGGGTTTATGAGACACACAGTAGTAAGAGATTTCAGCGACATGTGCCTGCGATACCCCGTACTCATCGTACTGTTGACATGTTACGACAGTGACATTCCGTAGAGAAAATTAGGGCACGTAAACACTAGAGAACTGAGAACGTACACAACACAGGGACCTCACCAAACATGACTGAATCTCCAAGTACCAACTGTCACATCTGATTCATTGATTAGATTTATAACATGAGCCAAATAACACTCTTTACACGTGTAACCCTAAACAAAATGACGATGGGAGCTGGGAGACTACAAGAGCAACTGACCTGGATTCCTTTCTTCAAGAGAGACTGTGTGCCCACACAAGACAGGCCTCTAACTGTCCACTTCCGTGATCCCGATTTTCTACCTGTCTCTGTGACGTCACGGCCCTCATACGGGTGACAACTCCGTGCTTTATTTACCTGTTTTGAAAGGGGTAGTAAATTATAGGAAAGCGAACAGTTCTCCTTTACTATCCACCCTAGCTGTTTTTCCATTGCTCCCTTACATTCTGTTTTTTAA